GTCATTAAATCTTATTAAGATCTTAAACGATAAGATCGTAGATTATCTTATCAAAATCTTAAAGGATAAGATCTTATAAGATCTTAGTAAGATAATGTTAAGAAGTGTCTAAGATTTTTACTAGGGGAAAGATGAATTTCATTATCTTAAAATTTCATTTTAGCACCTAAAAATAAGGTGGTTTTTAGGAAAACTCAAAAAAAGTGAAGTTTTACACTTTCGATTCTTCTTAATTTAAAATGAGATCAGCGGATCTTTTAATTTTTCCACTTAAAGCTTAAATGTGTCAGTGGATCCTAAGTAAAAGCGACACAGTTTATTCCTTTTAATTTCATGTCACAAAATTTCAGTTGAAAAGCCTCATAGTTTTTCCAATTTTAAAGTGTTTAGGCCTTGCGGCATTTTTCAAATTAAAATACAACATTTCAAAGACAAATCCCATGTACTTACCACTATCACCCCTTAGAACACCAAATAATTTAACTGTAACATAATGATTTTCAACATACAATTTGCTCTCTTGTCCCCAGTGCATCAAACTAACCACAAAACAATAAAATAATGATAAATCATCTAATTTTGAAGATGCTCGATAATTGGCAAATATTTTTAATAAATCTTGATGATCTTTGAAATATTTAAGTAGCTTGAAACGCGATGTTAGTGTTGCACATTTTTTAAAGTTACGTTCATCGATCAAATTGAACGCTTTTTCCTTTTCTTTTTTGGTCATTTTCGTGTGCAGATCACTTATTGTAATATAAAGTATTGAATGTTTTGAAAACGTTGAACATCTACAAGATAAAAAAGCTACCAATAAATAAATATGGCAAAAAACAAACGATTCTCAAGTCTCAGTGTCTGACTTAGGACTTGAAAATTAAATGTTATCAATTCATCAAACCTACGACTAGCATTAGTATTAGTGTTTCTTGAAACTCGACAAACTTTCATGCACAATAACCTGCTTTCTATCAATGGACGATGCACAAATTAAAACATGCATCCACAGAAGCAGAAGTCCAAGATGTCTCTTCATCCAAACCTGTGGCATGCTTTAATTGATCATTCTCCTTTCTCTATAGAAACTGTTATAATCAGAAAAGCAGGAAACTCGAGCTTACAAAAAACAGCATCGCACTTACATACAAACTTAAAAAATTCAATAAGCAAATCCAGACTTATTTAAGTGGATTTATCCAACGCAATTTATAACTTTTGTACCTACTACAGGATAGCCACTATGGTCGCACCAGAACTTGCACACCTTCCTCTGTGGTCAGTCACAACTTGACCATAATCAATATGAATATGTGCATAACAAAAATCAATTCAACCCTACTTCCAAACTAATACTAACTTCCTTCACACACTCAGCGGCGCCTCATGATTTCTAAATTCCATTTCTTAAGGTAAAACAACAAGCAAGTTTCTACAAGGTCTCGCTCGGCATAGAGCAACTAATAACCACGTTAGCCTTGATGAATTTCATGACTGACACGACACTTTTCTTTTCCACTAGTCCATAACATACCTTTTGTGTTTCTCTTTCACGTACAAACAATACACTTCGCTTCGAAATTATTGTGAATGATTTAATTTTGAAGATGATCCGAGTTTTGCACGCAGTTATACAATGGCGACGTGATAGG